GCCTTCCCTTTAAACATACCTGGTCCGCTGCCAGATGGTCCTTGTCTATCCCCGCAGTGATCAGATGAGAAAGGGGAGTCCTTCCAAGAATTCTCAGGGCGTGCCAAAGGCGTCCCCCTCCTCAACTGGTCCTGCAGCCGAACAGAGATTGTCCCATCTGGGGTGCCAAATTGATTTGCGGAATCAAACTCCATAACCCAGAGTTATGTTATAAAGCAGGTATGTTTTATTCAGCATTTGGCACCAAGCTGGGTGCAAGGGGGATAGCTCCTCCAAACTTGCACCCCGTAAGGAAGAAGCTTGGTACAGATATAGGCCCAACGAATACACAATCAGTGGAATTTACATGCATATTCATTACATTCCTGACTTATCAACATATGGTCCAGCCATGAGCAGTGGGGGTCTCCTTTGCATGGGAGAAGACCCATTGTCTCTGACAGAAGTAATCCGATCCTGACCCCTTCCTTGTGTCAACAGAGTTTTCAGATGCCCTTTTCTTATCTGATCACACATCCTGCTTACCTACATTCCTAAACAAGAGTTAATCCTTATCTTGTCCTTTCCTTACTCAGTGGGACTTTTTTTTTTTTAACACATGGAAAAGTGCTGTTCATGTAAGTTATGTTGAGTTGTGTTGTTCTTCCTAAATCAGGATTCTCCAACTCAAAGGTAAACATGAGCTGATTCTCTGGACTCAATGGCAGACAAAAGATGGCATCTTCTAGGTGGAGAACGGTAAACCATGCCAATTCACCTGATAATTTTGTAAGCAGCATGTATGGGTATGCTACCAATGGGTATAAATCCTACACTATTCTATTGATGGCCCTTAAATCTTGTGCTCACACTCCAGTGACCCGAATTTCTGAAAACTGTCAATTATTGGCTGGATTCCTTTCCTATCTCCGAATTTGAGGGGGTACTGTTTAATCCAAACCGGCCGAGCTCCCTGCTTTATTCCAATGGCTAGTGGTGCTGCATTCTTAGCTCTTCCTGAGCCTCTTCCTATTATCCACACCCCAGGACAGACCTGATCACCTGGGATCCTGGTCCTAGCAGGGGTAGTGATCAATGCTAAACTAAGCACCTCTATTAACTGTTCCTGTACCTTACATTCCAATTCTTACATTCCCAAGCGCATTATAACCTAGCTCTCAGGGTGCCTTGCAAGATTTCACATGTGAGGTTCTCAGAATTCTCGAGATACCTCCCCAAGTGGGACCCTGCTCCCGAGGGTTGTGCTCCCACACCGATCGCCGTCACCCAACCTATAGCTGTGGATCCACCCTCAGGGGCAGCACACTTGCTCCTTCTCTCCCACGTAGGATGTCTCCTTAAGACATACAGGTCCCTGTACCTGTAACATACCTGGACCATACCAAGGTTCTTTCACAGCCCCACGGAAAATGTGTGGGTCTCAAGAGCTTTTAGCATAGCTGGCCCTGGTAGAGCAGGGAGCTTAACCATGCTCATGCCCTGCTGAGAAGACCGAATTGAGAAAGCAGGATAGGAAGTTGTTCGAAATAGACGTCACTTGCTCAGTGAGTAGAAACGTGCCATGAGTGCCATGGGCAGCGCTCAGTGAGGAAGTGAGCCAGCTGCAGGGAGATGCTGCCCTCGAGAGCAGGGCAGCCGGAGATTGCCTCTTCTGGGACCTGCTCACGGGTGAGAGGAGTTAAAGGAGCGCCAGGACAGCAACGTGGGGATGTGCGACCGCAAGGATGTGCGAATGGCTCCGGCAAAGGAAGCAAAGGGACTCAGCAGAAAGCGACGCTTCATTAGCGTAACAAAACACAGCCCCCCCCCCCCACTCCCCCAGTGCAGATGTGCCATGAGAACGAGCTGTGAAACTGCCAAGGCCTGGCAGCCGGCTCGGGGGCGTGCTCGCTGTGGCAATTGCTGCCTGGCAGCTGAGGCTGTGCTGAAGCGGCCAGAGCCTGTCTGGAAGCCATCCGGGCAGCACCGCGGCGGCAGGAGGTGCAGTAAGGCCGTCCTGCGGCCAGCTCCGGGCTGAGGACACTCGGCATCCCCTGCTCTCCGCGACTCCCAGGAGCCCGGTTGCCTGCACCAGAGGTGGGAGCAGCCTGCTCCGCACCCGAGGTAGGTGCCCCTCGTGGCTCGTGCAGAGGAGCTGCAGGCATTTTTCTCTTCCAGGTGAACGCCGTTTCGAGGCAGGGACTGGGGATGGCTGCAACACTACCTTGAGGACTAGTAGATGACCTGCAGCTTTGGGAGGTCAAGAAAAAAAGGGATTCTTTTTAAATCATGGGACAGATTTCTTACCGTCAAGCGGTATTAATACTAATTAGATTTTGTTCAGTAGTAGTTGTTGTTTGGTTGCTTGTATCCCTTACTCTCGTTGATCTGTGTGCTTTTTTTTTACCCATCCCCTCACGCTGTGTGGCACTGTCCTCGTGCTGCAGGAAGCTCTCCTTCTCCTTGCGAGCAGCACCCCGAGGGGACGGGAGCAGCGGTTGCCAAGCGTGTTGCAGCCCGGCTTGGGATCCGAGGGGCACAGGAAGGGGTTGGAGCTGCGACAGAGAGGAAGCGAGCAGAGGAGCTGAGCGTGCTCTGCTGCCCGGTTGGCTCTGTGTAACAGCCCAGCTGCAACTGCGTTTCTCCCTCTGGGCCACGGGAGACACGAGACGACCTCGCTCCGCAGCTCTGCACGCATGAATTGATGGAAGCTTTAAACTCCCCGATAAGTCCTTTTGAGTGTCTTAATTTCCGTTCCCCTCCCCGGCAGCCCGCAGTTTTCCTTCGGGGACCCAGCAGGCAACATCTGCCTCTAGCGGCCCTTTCAGCGTTACCTTTTGTACGCTTAGCGCTGGGCTGATGGCTCACCTGGGGTTGTGCAAACCCCTCCCGAGGCTTTTCTTCAGGCTGTCCCGGCAGATGCAGATGCCTTTAGCGCTCAGCTGCGGGCCCTGAGCACGTCCAGCATCTGTGCCAGCTCCGGCACTGGGCTGTGAAGCGCAGCCCGGGCTGCCTTGTGCAAAGGGCACCCGCTGCTGAGAACGTCCCCTGGAAGTGAGCGCAGGGTGCGTGCTGAGCTGAGTGGGGAGCTGCGCCCCCTGGTGGGGGAGGAGGGAAATGCAGCCGCTGAGGCATTCTTGGTGCAATGAGGGACCGGGGCTTGTTCAGCTAGGAGAAGAGAAGGCTCCGGGGAGACCTCATTGTGGCCTTCCAGGACTTGAAGGAAACGCATGAACTGGAGGAGGATCGACTGCTTACATGGGTGGATAGTGACAGGACAAGGGGGAATGGTTTTAAATTGAGACAGGCAAGATTTAGGTTGGATATTAGGAGGAAGATTTTCACTCAGAGGGTGGTGACACACTGGAAGATGTTGCCTAGGGAGGTTGTGGATGCCCCATGCCTCGATGCATTCTAGGCCTGGCTAAGCGTGGCTCAGGGCAGCCTGGTGTGGTTGATGGCGACACTGTACGCAGCAGGGGGTTGAATCTAGGTGGCCACTGTGTTTCTTTTCACCCTGGGCATTGTATATTTCTATGATTACCTTCAGATATTCATTGTAACACAACACCTTAGAGAAGCTCAGGAAGCTCCAAACTAATGTTGGGTCCCTTAAAGAAGGTCTGGGTCAGCAAGTTCTCTTGACATCAAGCTGAGTGGGATCTACAGGTGTTACCTTAAGAGACATCCCTGCTAGTTGTGTGACCCTGTCATACAGCCCATTGCTGTGCAGGAGGGCTCAAGGGGCTCTTGGGCTGCTCCCTGTTTATGGGTATGATGACTGACTCATTGCTTTGCATTGCCTTTAGGCATACGGTTCATGTACTCTCAGCTGTTTAACCCGGTTTCTGTTCTTTCTGCCCCCCAGTTTGAGTCAGCTGTGTGATTTGTAATCAGCTGTAGCTAGAGTGTTACCAGTGCTGTTGCTGACTGTCTTCCTGTGCAAGGCCTGCTGTGCCATCCCCCAGGCAGTATCCTGCAGATGGGCTGTGGAGGGCTGTGCTGGGACAGGGTCTGCTGCGTTCCCTCACAGCTCCCTTGCCATTTCTCTTGTCCCTGCAGGCTCCAGTTCAACTTCTGCCTTCCAGCCGTGATCATCTCACCTGCAGGAGAGCAGCAGATGGCCACAACACATCCATCTCAGGTAGGGGCTGAGGGAAGCAGGCAGGAGAGGCCAAGGGGCGAGGAATGTGAATGCCAGGGGAGAGGGAGGTGCCCTCATGCAGCACGTGTGTGCTGGGGCCAGAGAAGCGGCTGGGACGGGAGTTTGTGTCCTGTGCGAGCTGCTTCCCTGGGCTGTTCCCAGCAAGGAGCCTCTTTGCTTGCAGGAGCCCGTGAGCTTTGCGCAGGTGGCCGTGTATTTCAGCAGGGAGGAGTGGGCGCTGCTGGACCCTGCGCAGCGAGCGCTCTACCGGGACGTGATGCTGGAGACGTACCAGTGCGTGGCCTCGCTGGGTGAGGGCTTTGCTGCCTTTCCTCCTCGTTAGGGCACCTTTGGCTGTGCAGAATGAGCCTCTGCAGGCCGGGCCTAGAATAATCGCCATGCAGTTACATATTGATAACTCCAACAGCAACAAAGGAAATACTGAGAAGCATGAGCTTCAGGAGGGATTAGAATGGACAGCTGTCTCCTAAATGCCCCGGAGTCAGTGCTGGCAAGCAGGCATCATCCAGGAGGGAGAAAACCAGCCCTTCTGTTGTTGCGCTGCGTGGTGCCACCAGCTTTAGCTAACAGATGACTCCCTGGTTTCTCCTTTACCATGTAGGATTTTGTGTTCAGTTGCCATAGACATTTTGATGCCTTGGTCATTGATATATTGTCAGAGAATAATCAGGCCATTCACAAGTTAATTTTAAAGAAAATATCCCTTCATCATTTTCAGAGCTGTGAATGCATTCCTTGCTCCAGAGGAAGCTTTGGGCCCAGTGTCATTCAGGCCCTAAGTGTGCTTTCTCCCTGGGGAGGGACACAGAGTGGAGCTGTTGAACAGGCACTGTGCCAGAATGATGGAAATGTTCTCATCTCCCCTGTTTCTCTTCTTGAAGCTCCACTTGCAGCCCCCAAACCCATGGTGATCTCCCTGCTTGAAGGAGGAGAAGAGCCCTGGATCCCAGATGTGCATAGCCCTGAGGCCGTGCCAGGAGACCTCAGCCCAGGTGAAGCGGTGGAGGGAAGGAGGAGGTTGGGGCAGGAAGAGCCATCTCTGTCTGTATTTTATTTTGGGCACTGTGTGCTATTTCTGGATTTTCTGTCATCCAGCAGGAACTCATATTACAGATATATTGGAGGATCTGCAGGAAAGTGGTGTGGCCGAAAGGCGATACAGTAGTGCCTGTGTGGAAGAAATCAGAAGGGATGTCCAAGGAGGCCTGGAGCAAGGTCAGGGTGAGCACATCATGAAACCACAGGGAAAGTGTCTGCGAAAGACAGGAAGCGCCCCACTGGACTTCAGCATAGGTCAAGAGGAGCCTGAAGAACCCAGGAGCAAGGATGTGTGCCTGAAGAAAAAGCAGAATCCATGCACCGAGTGTGGAAGTAGCTTTGAAAAAGATTCCAGCATCATTAACCACCAGTGCATACGCTCAGCAACGAGTCCATACACGTGCTGTGATTGTGGGAAGTGCTTCAAAAGCAGATCCCAACTCACGTACCACCAACGCATCCACACAGGAGAGAGACCCTACAGGTGCTCTGAGTGTGGGAAGAGCTTCACAAGGAGTTCTTGCCTTAGGTTCCACCACCGCATCCACACAGGAGAGAAACCCTTTCAATGCACTGGGTGTGAGAAGAGCTTCAAAAGCAGTTTTGAATTGAAGCTGCACCAGCGTGTACACACAGGAGAGAAACCCTACAAGTGCAGTGAGTGTGGGAAGAGCTTCAGAAGCAGTTCTGAACTAAAGCGCCACAAGCGCTTCCACACAGAGGAGAGACCCTACAAGTGCTCTGAGTGTGGGAAGACTGTAAAAAGCCATTCCCACCTCATCTACCACCAGCGTTTCCACACAGGAGAGAGACCCTGCAAGTGCTCTCAGTGTGGGAAGAGCTTCAAAAGCAGTTCTGATTTGAAGCGCCACCAGCGCATCCACACAGGAGAGAGACCCTACAAGTGCAGTGAGTGTGGGAAGACCGTAAAAAGCAGTTCCCACCTCATTTATCATCTACGCTTCCACACAGGAGAGAGACCCTACAAGTGTCCCGAGTGTGGGAAGAGCTTCAAAAGCAGTTATGAATTGAAGCTGCACCAGCGTGTACACACAGGAGAGAAACCCTACAAGTGCTCTGAGTGTGGGAAGAGCTTCAGAAGCAGTTCTGCATTGAAGCTGCACCAGCGTATACACACAGAGGAGAGACCCTACAAGTGCTCTGAGTGTGGGAAGATGGTAAAAAGCAGTTCCCACTTCATCTACCACCAGCGCATCCACACAGGAGAGAGACCCTTTCAGTGTCCTGAGTGTGGGAAGAGCTTCAAAAGAAGTTCTGAATTGAAGTGCCACCAGCGCATCCACACAGGGGAGAGACCCTTTCAGTGTCCTGAGTGTGGGAAGAGCTTCAAAAGAAGTTATGAATTGAAGTGCCACCAGCGCATCCACACAGGGGAGAGACCCTTTCAGTGTCCTGAGTGTGGGAAGAGCTTCAAAAGAAGTTCTGAATTGAAGCAACACCAGCGCATCCACACAGGGGAGAGACCTTTTCAGTGTCCTGAGTGTGAAAAGAGCTTTAATCGCAGATCTAGTCTCAACATCCACCAGCACATCCACAGCGCACCCAGGCTGTAGAAGCATCTCAAGACGCTGGGAACCTTCAAAAGCAGTTCCAGCCCCGTTACCTACCAGCACAGCCACACAAGATACAGAGCCTGCAGACACATGAACATGGTAAGAGCTTCAGCCAGAGTCCCAGCTTAGTGACCAACTATGGCTTTGTGTGGTGAGGGACCTTACAAATCCCTTGAGTAGAGGAAGAGCTCTGCGGCCAAACTGAATCCTCTTTTCCGTCTTTCCATGAGAATTATGCATATTGCTCTCCTTCAGCTGTAGTTGCTGTGTTGAGTGGCCATACAAAGCAGAGTCCAGGGTGGGATGTGTCACAGCCACAGGAAACCCTCTGCCAGGTGGCACATTTCTTCCAGGGCTGTGTGCAAGGAGAGTCACCTCTGATCTCCCCTGCAGAAATTCCTCTGCTGTGGGGCAGCAGGTAAGGACCCAAAGGAGACCTCAGCTGGGCCGATATGTCACCAGGAAGGAAGAAATCTTGTGTGCAGGTTGTGTGGAAAGAGCTTCATCTGGAGCTCAACCCTTAGTAGTCCCCAGAGAACCAACCAGGGGAGTCTCTGTGAGTGCCTTGACTGCAGGAAGAGGTCCGTCCAGAGCTAGGAGCTCAACACACACCAGTGTATCCACGTGAGGAACCCTACAAATGTGCAGCCTGGAAGAAGATCTTTGGCCACAGCTGGAACCTGCTGAGATACCAGAGTGTCTGCACTTGGGTGAAGTCCAATCCGTGCCTGCACCAGTGAGTTCATGTGGCAGGAAGCCTTAGAAATGCCTGAAGTGTGAGAAGGGCTTTGTGCAGAGGGCAGAGCTCCTCACTTGCCCTGCAAGTGTTTCTGGTGCATCACTGGCACCCTCTGCAGAAGGGACTTAAGCCAGGAGCTTCAGATGGCCTTTCCTTGCTGCCCTAAGCAGTTCTCTCACCATGCCCGCTTTCCTCTTCTGCTCTTCCTGCCAGCAGCTTTTTGATGCCGTTTCCTAAGGAGAAGTGGCTGTGTAGGGATGTTCTGTGTGTCTGTGCATGTGTTGCTCTCAGTAATTTGTGAGTGCACTGATGAATCTGTGGGAAGGGTCAGGAGAGCAGTAATGTGACTCTTGGAGGTTTTCTGAGAACCATTTGTAGTGGAAAGGGAAGGGGGTGAATAAAGTAGCTGAGTTGTTCTGAAGCTTTCTTCAATGTAGTCCTGTTTTTTGCTTTTAAAAGAAATGTCAGCATGTGGAATGAAGAGAGGGAAAGGTGCAATCAGGATTTGGTTTGGGTGCCTCCTCCAGCCCATTGCTTGCTTCTGGGGAAGGCATTTCTTTCACACAACCCTATCATCCTTCCTAACCGTGCTGCACATTGGTTCTACTGCTCTTCTCGAATGCTTTAATCAGCAACAGGAGACAGTCATTCAGCCAAGATTTGGGGTGATTTACTTTTCAGCTGCATCCAATAATTGCTGTCATATTTCATCGGTCATGTGTCTCCTCTTTCCTTTTACATTTCTCCAAACAGCATTCTCACTATTCTTTGTTTTCATCTTATATCACTATTCTGAGAACTATTGAGCAGGTTTTCCCTGAAATGAAAATAAAAATGATTTTCCACTTTTACACCCTGAAACATTTCTTTAACTGCAGATTCCCCCTAATGTTGTTTCACATGTCACATTTACTTCCATTACGTTAAGCTAAGTTTCCATTATTTCCTCTCCTCCTGCTTCCCTGCTTTCCCTCTGCTCTGGGGAAAGTCCTTCTGCTGTGGACATGAGTCCCTGCAGAGTTGTGACTGCAGTGCCCCGTCTGCAGGAATGGGAGCATTTCAAATTCCACAATGGTTTGTTTTCCTTGTGGTGGAGGAATGGTGGGCATGGAGGAGGGGGACTTCCATTCTCAGGGTGGATGTTCACTCGGGAGGCTTTGTCTTGGTGAATTCTACCAGTAGTGGCATCCACCCCACAGTAAGCAATTTCATGTCACCTCTGCACTCATGGAATCAACACATCCATAGACAGAGGTCCCAAGGGAACAACCAGCCCCCCGGGTGCCCATGTGCAAGGCTGTTACACGTTACTGGTTTTTCACGTTGGCACCCAGAGTTGGGGGCCCTGTGTGCTGCAGCATCATCAGCATGAGTGAGACGTGGTGGGAATGGTGCTGTGAGGGGTGTGCTGTGTGTGATGGATGGCTCTGGGCTCTCCAGGGCGGAGATGCAGGGCAGGTGAGATGGGATGGGGTTGCTGCTTGTACTGGTGGGCTGGATGGAATGGAGCTTACAGTTAGTAATGACATGGTTGAAAGCCTCTGGGTATGGATTGAGGGACAGGGAACTAAAGTGGGCGTCACTGTGGGAGTCTACTATAAGCCACTCAGCCTGGATGATTATACCAATTAAATATTCTTAATTCTTTTACGGAGTGTCTCAAGAACAGCCTTACTTGTGAATGGGTTATCAACTTCCCAGAAATTGAGGGCTGTGCCAGGATCTGATTTGCTCAGATTGACCTGAGATATTTGTTTCATTTCTGCTCAGAGATGAGTGCTGAGTGGTTCATACACAAGGCTAAGGTGCCTTTTCTGTGCTACAGGATTTCTTTTGTGGACCAGGAATGCAGGATTGCCTCGCCTCCGAGTGTACTGACAGAATTTACCCACACGAATGGGTACCTACGCTTCTTTTGCACGTTTCTCCTCGAAGCAGAATGAGGCATCTGATCCCAACACCCACGGTGTCACAGAATCACAGAACTGCCAGGGTTGGAAGGGACCTCAAGGATCATGAATCTCCAACTCCCCTGCCACATGCAGAGTCACCAACCTCCACATTTAATACTAGATCAGGCTGCCCAGAGCCCCATCCAATCTGGCCTTGAACACCTCCAGGGACAGGGCATCCACAACCTCTCTGGGTAGACTGTTCCAGCACTTCACCACTCCCTCTGTAAAGAATTTCCCCCTGACGTCCAACCTAAATCTCCCTTCCCTCAACTTAAAACCATTTCCCCTCGTCCTGCAGTTATCTACCCTTTCAAAGAGTTGATTCCCCTCCTGTTTGTAGGCTCCCTTTAGGTATTGAAAGGCTGCAATGAGCTCACCCCACAGCCTTCTTTTCTCAGGCTGAACAAGCCCAGCTCCCTCAGCCTGTCCTCATAGTGGAGGTGCTCCAGTTCCCTGATCATCTTCGTGGCCCTCCTCTGGACCCTCTCCAACAGTTCCCTGTCTTTCTTGTACTGGGGGCTCCACACTTGGACGCAGTACTCCAGATTCCCGGGGGAATGGCCACAAGTTGTACCAGAAGAGGTTTAGGTTAGACTTAAGGAAGAACTACTTCTCTCAGAGAGTGGTCAGGCACTGGAATGGCCTGCCAAGGGTGGTGGTGGAGTCGCCATCTCTGGCAGTGTTCAAGAGGCGTCTGGACGAGGAGCTGCGAGATCTGGTTTAGTAGCTTGTGGTAGCAGTGGCAGTGTGAAGACGGTTGGACTAGATGATCTTATAGGTCGTTTCCAACCTTGTGATTCTATGATTCTATGATTCTATGGGGCCTTACAAGAGCAGAGTAGAGGGGAACAATTACCTCCCTGTCCCTGCTGGCCACCCCTCTTTTGATGGAGCCCAGGATCCCATTTGCCTTCCGAGCCGCAAGGGCACACTGCTGGCTCATATTAAGTTTTTCATCCATCAAGACTCTCAGGTCCTTCTCCACAGGGCTGCTCTCAAGGACTGCTCCTTCCAGTCTGTATGGATGCCTGGGATTCCTCCGGCCCAAGTGCAAAACTCTGCACTTTGCCATGTTGAACCTCATCAGGTTCACCCAGGCCCACCTTTCAAGTCTGTTGAGGTCCCTCTGAATGGCATCCCTTCCTTTAACTGTGTTGACCGCACCACTCAGCTTGGTGTCGTCAGCAAACTTGCTGAGGGTGCACTCAATTCCATCATCGATGCCATTGATAAAGATGTTAAAGAGCACCAGTCCCAAGACAGAGCCCTGGGGGACGCCACTCGTTACCAGCCTCCACCTGGACATGGAGCCATTGATAACCACCCTCTGTCTGCGGCCTTTCAACCAGTTTCTTATCCATTGAGTGGTCCACCCATCAAATCCACATCCCTCCAGTTTGGAGATAAGGATGTGGTGGGGGACCATGTGAAAGGCCTTGCTCAAGTCCAGGTAAATGACATCAGTCGCCTTTCCCTGTTTACTCTCACTTTACTCTGGGTTGTCTCACACTTTATTTGGGCTTACATCACACTTTACTCCAAGTTTACTCACACTTTACTCTGGGTTTACTCAAACTTCTGTTTTGTGTGTGTTTGACTCACTTTACGCAAGGTGAACTCAATTTTTTCTTCAACTTTACTTGCACTTTACTCCAAGTTTACTCATACTTTTCTCTGGGGTTTACCTACACCCTACTCCGAGTGTGTACACTCTCTCTTCTGGGCCTACCCACACTTTACACCTGGTTTTCCTGATACTTTGAATTTACTCACACTTTACTCCTGTTTTATTCATATTTTTTTTCCATTATTTACTCATGCTCTGCACCAGTTTTGCACACTCTTTTCTCTGGGTTTACTCTTACTCTACTCCGGATGAACTCATACCTTACTCTAGGTTTTAGTCACAATTGTCTCCTCGTTTACTCTCACTTTACTCTGGGTTGTCTCACACTTTACTCAGGCTTACATCACACTTTACTCCAAGTTTACTTGCACTTTACTCCAGGTTTACTCACACCTATTTTTTTGTGTATTTGACTCACACTTGTCTCAAGGTTTACTCTAACTTTTCTTCAACTTCATTCACACTTCACTCTGGTTTACTCACACTTGTCTCCATATTTTACTCTTATTTTTTGCATCAGGTTTGCACACTCTTTCCTCTGGGTTTGCTCTTACTCTATTCCAGCTGGACTCACACCAAGCTCCAAAGGGACACAAAATACAATAAGCCCAATTTCCCTGAGGTAGGACTGTGAGCAGTAGAGCTTGAGGATTTGGGTGATTTCACAAAAAAAGCAGGTTGATGGCATTGCCTTGGCAGAGAGGAAGCATAAATGTATTGGAAATGTGCAGCAGAGCACAGAGAACCCCGGTTCCCCAGGCAGCTGCTGCCATGCTGGCACAAGCTCTGCTGTCCATCAAGGACCTGTAGTGCAGGGGCTTGCAGATGGCAACATAGCACATGACGGTGAGCATGGAATATTCTGCTGAGATGAAGAAGAGGAAGAAAAAGACCTGAGCAGCACATCCTGCACAGGAGATGGCCCTGGTGTCCCAGAGAGCATTGGCCATGGCTTTGGGGAGAGTGGTGAAGATGCAGCCCAGGTCAAGGAGGGCGGGGTTGAGGAGGAAGAAGTACATGGGGGTGTGCAGGCAGTGGTGGCAGGCTACAGCTGTGCTGATGAGGCCGTTGCCCAGGAGGGCAGCCAGGTAGATGCCCAGCAAGAGCCAGAAGTGCAGGAGCTGCAACTGCCGCGTGTCTGCCAATGTCAGGAGGAGGAACTCTGACGGAGCTGCTGTTGGGCATCTGCAGTTCCTGGGCATGGAGTCCTGTTCAGACTGCAGAAGATAATGACAAGTCTGTTCCTGGAGTCACTCCTACTCCTATACTATAAAATGTTTTCTTACTCATAGAACAATGCTTGTTTAGCTCCATTACTTGAATGTAATTTCATGAAGTTCAGCATTCCATCAGAAAAAGAAGCTGAAGGAGTTTTTCCTTCCTCTCATTTTCTGATCTTATTCCATATCCCTGGACATTTTCATCTGTTCCATCTGTCATGATGGGGACCCTGCTCTGCAGGACAGCCCTGGGCATCCAGCTGCAGCCCCGGCTGCACAGCCTGCAGCCATCCTGGGACACACAGCCCTCAGGGCTGTGCTCTGATGCTGCAGCAGGGAAGCCCTCAGCTGGAGCAGGTATTTATCTACAACAAAAAAACATGGAGTGCCTGCAGCCTCACCTGCAATGGCATGTCCCAGATTTAGTGATCCTTGCAGGAAAAGCAGCTGTATTTCCTGCTGCAAGAGATTTCCCTTTTCAAGGACTGCGAGCAATGTTTCTCCAGTGAGCTCACAGCCTGCTCACATCCCACACAGCCTGTAAGCTCTCTCTCCTTTCTCTTCTGCCCTGATGTCACCTGCAGATCATGGCCCAAGCCCTGCTGTGCTGTGCAGAAGAGCTGCTCCTGG